GTTAACTGTGTCTAAGATAATAATATAATAATAATAATAATGTTTATTTGGTGTAAAAAACCAGATTACAAAATAAATCTTATTATCTAAGGAAATATATTGGACCACTGGACTTTCTGATGTACCGGTATTGTGGCACCACGAGCTGTGAAGTTGGCGAGTGTCGGGTTTACACGGAGACTCGCGAGTGGCTGGAGAGAAGGTCGCGACAGTTGTCTAACTTGCTAATACGATGCTAATGGCGGCGCTAAGCTAACCTTACGGAACGTATTCTATGAACAGTGCTATTAAGTACTGCTCTTAGTATTAACAAAAACGATATTAAGCCAGGAAGTGTTTGTAATGCTGCCAGCGTCGCTAGTGTCAGACAATTAGGATCAGGTTGCCGCCGCGCGTGTAATGGTTCTCGAATGTTCTGTGAGCCACAGTGGGGGTTACGCAACATTTTTTTTAACATTGAATTTGAACAAAATGCTACTTTAACTGTAGTTGGAAAATAATATCTAAGTTTAGTAAAACTTCAGAAGAACAAAGTATCCAAATTGTTTTTACGAAATAATGAAGCAGGAAATCCCTAAACTGAACGTTCTAGAAAACTATCGCTTGAAACAATAACACTGAGTTAATCTGGTGTGTTAGTAGTTGTAAGTAAGTTGATAACGAGCGCGGCTAATTGGCGACATCAGATTAGTATTAATTAAGTAGATATATTGTATTAGTCGGCTGGCATCTGCAACACACACTTTGATCAATTACACACGAACGTACATAGCTACCGTGCATAATATGTAGGTATGTACGTACGTAGTGTTGTAGTGGCACGTGACGTGCGCTCCACAATATATGTATTATGTTGTGAAAATTATATTGCAATTGACAAATTTAAGTAACTTTGGGTCGTTTCGGTAGATATGTACCATATGTTATAGCTCTTGCTGGCTACATCCTGTTAACGATAGCATTGCAAAGACAATCATCAAGTTGTCTACTCGTAATGGACTCCTACATAATGCTTCTAGCTGATGTTGTTCAGGGAGCATAATACCAATGTACTTTCGATAATTATGTAAGGTAAGGATAATTATAATTACTAAGAGCAAGCGATCAGGGAACTGCGGGTAATTACATTCACAGACAAACACCAGATAATTAAACATTACACAAAATCTCGGGAAATAAAAACGGAAATACCCCACGTTTTACTAACGGACCATGTTATACTGGACTTCTTTGTAAATAAAATTGTCCAGTGTAAGTTGAGCTTTCGCGTAAGTGAAACATAACTCAATTAGGTTTCGTTATATTTTGTTAAGAAAACTTAATTTGTGTCGCGAGTACGCGGCCGCCGCCGCCGCCGCCGCCGCCGGCCTGTACGGGCGTACACCGTACATACTGAGCCGGGACCTTCTGTTTTACTTTGACCCAGTACATACAGATTTAATTACTTAACTTTAAGGTTATTTTGCAAGTTCCTCCAGAGTTTTAAATAAATAACGTACCAGTATTTGACGTAAAAACTTTCAATTATTACGTCAAAAATACGGCATTATTTACAACTAAGTATCCCCGTAATTTATTATTAAAAACGTTGTGGGAATTCTTCAGTCCCGGTGAGTCTCCTGTAACATTACGTCATACATCTCGACATCGAGATCTTCGCACTGATTTTGAATAAAATGAAAGAGAATAGAATAATAGGGGACTGAATGGGTGAAGAGTTTGTAAGCTTATACATAAATGTAAGTTCACTATAGTTAACATTATTAAAAATCTCATGAGACAAAACTACGTACGGCGTACTCATCTAACTGTTTGATAAGGTATCTCGACTAAATTCAAGCCACGCTAGGGGCTCATATGAAGCTACGTCGCGCGGGCAACTGTTGTGTTTTAATTATCCTAAATGCAACCTTATCATAGTCTTAATAAGTAACAATTTGTCAGGTCGGTAAAGTAAAGGCTTGTTTTTTAATTAGAACCTTGGTACAAGCGGTTCACACCGCGCGGTACATGTTAATGAGCCTCTACAAAGTTCACGACGACTGAAAAATTCAGCGCTAGTTTGTTGTGTAATGAATAATGGTAATTATACCTCCTCTCACTAATCATGGACTCGCTGTATAAATATTTATGGAGCTCATTATTGGACGGTTTCTTATACTTCAATTTTACTTCATACAGACAACGCAATGAACTAATGAGTGTTTGTTTGAGACGTTATCCAGATAATTAATTTATAACGTTCCGGGAAACATCTCGGTGGGTACATACCTATGTACTGGCGAATATTTCAGCAATCTACCTAAACATTAAACTGTGGTAAACATTTTCAACTATAAATGGTTGACCATTTAATAGAGCAATAATGACGTGCAATAGTGAAGCTAATTTTGTTTTATGCCACACTACATACACGAGGTTAGCAATCGAAAGCGGATGTCGTGCTCACAGCCACTGCGCTAACATTCACTCTACAATGTTTCTTAATAATGTAAAATTTCAGTAACATGCAAGGACCAGGCTCGCCACTGTTAGGTTCGTGAACATTAAATAAATCCCTTGTAAGTACTGCCACAATACACGTTAAGTTCCGATGTTCCCCCCGCGACTGGCCGCGGCCACCAGGCGAGTATTCCTCCAGCGATAGATATTGTAATTCTCGACAAATATATTACACGAAAAACAAATTCGAGGCAGCTGACGCCGCGGGCGAAATGTGAGTTGAAAAATAATATAAAATTGCGTATTCACTCGACTAGCTCCATCTACTGGCTGGATCATAATAAATATACAAATAAATATGGCGCTGTCTAAAACTTTTTAATTAATCCAATGTTCTACGTTTGACCTACAGCTGTTCGTGTGTGACTTTCAATTGAGTTTTTTTGCGCTTTGTTTGACTGAACACAACTGAACAACTGAATGCTGAACACTGAACACCGCCAACCGATAGGACACTACTGTTTAATTGCTACAACTCTCCATTCAGATATTAAAGTATCAGTCTCTGTGTCCGACTGACTACTAGTGACTGGCTGATATAGTAAATGACGGAGTACCTTGTAGTGTGTTAGGCAAGTGTTATTTATTTGTTCGTAAGGCCGGTGTCACGTTGTGGTCACGTGGTCACGGAATGAGCCGCAAATAAAAACATTTCGTCCGTCCACTAAAATGAGTACTTCTTACAAACCACCAGAAAAACGTGGCTCATTTCTCTTGAGCTGAGCGTTGTACCGCTCCGTGCAATATTTTTTGCGGTATCAGTTGTGTACGCGGGGGCGAGGGCGCGGGGGCGCGGGGGCGCGCGCTCTGCAGTCAGCTCACGTGCCCTCACGCACTCACTCCGGCCACTCGGTCGGCGCCCAGTGTTGCCAACCTGTCCTGACTGAGTAAATAGATACTGTGCCGCCTTACACTTTGTTGATTTTTTCAGTGGTTTTTTGGCAACCCTCGACCGACGTACGAGGCTTGTTTCATGAGAAGTTCCAGCAGCCACTGACGTTTTTTAACCATAATACAATTCATTTAAATTGTAAATGTTTATTGTAAATTGTGTACAATTATTTAAAGTGTAACCTAAGGGTTACACAATGAGATTAGTTACTGCATACCTACACTGTAAGCAGCGATCTCATTGTACACTCAGAAACAAGTGCGTTATTAAAGAGTTATATATATATATATATAAATAACAGAGCTTGTAGGTAACTGTAACTAGCTGGAGTGGAAGCAATCACAATAACTCGGAGATCTCAAACTGTAGCACTCGTTGCTGAATAATTAAGAATGTGGTCACACCGAGCCGCCGCCACTCCACCCACTGCACACCGACGAACTTCAGTACTTACTGAAATTTATGAAAGCTACAACTTATACCTCATTATAGCCATCGAGCCTCTATTCAAGTAATCACTTTCAAAAATATAAAATTTAGAATGTAGTTTATAACAATGGCATTTCCAGGGAAAGCCTAAGTTACTGACGTACTTTGTAGTGTTACTCAGTTACACTCAGTGACGTCTGTACAAAAAGGTTCGAGCTCTGACAACACCGCGCGCCGTGACAGACACAGAGCTGCAGCTTCACTTTGGGGAAATTAAGATAATCTGAATCACTGTGGTACACGGTATCTGTACCCTCACACACCATAACTTCATAAAGAAGAAGCTGCGTGTATCGTGTATCGTCTCATATTGTATGTATGTATGTTTGTGCGCGATTATCTCGCAATTGGCTGAATCGATTTGGATGCGGTTTTCAGAAAATTGTTTGTAACACTTAGGAGACTAGTATATTAAAAAGAGGGGGTTGAGTCGGTTTATTTTAAGCGTAGTTTATAAAAGAATAATGGTTCAGTATTTCAAAAAATGTTAAGTTTATGTGTCCTTGTACAATGTACAGTTTCATAGAATTGCCGTGGGTTCAGTTCATTATCCCCGCCATTAAGCGGCTCCCGGGCAATGGCCAGCGCTGAACATAACTCCAAGTAATTACTGAAATCTTCAGAACAATTTTAATCAAAACAGTTGCAGAGTTTAACGGCGCAAGTAATACAATATCACTTTGGTTTACAACCCTTTGAGCGGCCGCAGCATCATAACGTTTAGGGCCGGCCTACACTCACCGACTCTACTACTCACTACAATACAACAAACGTTGAAGAACACACACTCTTTGTTCAATTATTATTAGTTCGACATCTATCAAAACTTTTACATGTCTTTGTTAGATATAGCAGATACCTAACTTCAATACCTCTAATCCAGAAAACACAGCTCTTGTCACAACTTCAACTTCCCTTATATGGTGGACATTCCATCCATTCGCACTAAGCGTTTCTCGTCAAGCTTCCTTGTGCGAACCGCTAAGGAATGGACCTCCTTGCCGGAATGTGTTTCCCGTCAAATATGACTTGGGTGTCGTCAAGTCCCGAGTGAACAGGTTGCTCATAGGTAGGCGTGCTCCATCGTCGGCCACATCATCGTGCACCACCAGGCGAGATGGTGGCCCAACGTCAACCTATGAAGTATAAAAAAAATAAGCTCTATACTGACGAGGAAGCCAGAAAACCTAGAGAATGCAGCAGATCATACATGGAGCTCATACACATACATCTTTGTGTTCCAGTTCATCATAAACTCACACTTCAGCCAGCTACTGCAAGTACTGCAACTAGTCCCCGAAACAGTCCCACTGTCACACAGACTGTTAAAAAGTTTGCGCGACACACAGCGCCGGCTTTTAGCTTTATTTGTTTGTTTGTTTGTTTGTGTGCCGCAAATTATTATTGTTATGTAATATATGAGGAGTATACCATTGTGTGGGGTCCGTGTGACACCACTTGTATAGAGTGCAGCTACGCGCGGTTAGTGGAAGTTGTACCGAGCAATAACAACTTTAGACATCGGATTACGTATTATATTTGGACATGTTATTCAGAAGATAATCCAATATTTCTATTACATGAACATATTATATCTAAGATCGTGCGGTGCAGTAAGAGAGCATTGTTTCAGTGCGATGTAACGAGGTTACGTGTCGACGCGACGTATGAAAGCCGATACGAGAACAACAATCTAATCAGCCGCGATACCGAGCGGGTCAGGCAGCGAGGAGAACATTCCCGGACACACTCGCTAGCGTCTTCTGATTGCCTGCTACCTATACAGGAAATAAAATATTTCTCTCTACGTTGTGCCCCTGTAGACAGGCGACGGCTTGTACTACTAACCATTGTGTAAGATTGGCGCTGCACTGCAATATATTCTCGTCCTGCCATAAAGCGAAATGTTCACACATTAAACATAATGGCGGCTCACAAGCCACATCCGCGACACTGGGACGAAGCAGCGCCGCGGTGTAGCGCTACATTATATAGGCGCAGCAATAAAACTCGCACTAGTGCAGCTCGCAGCGAGTATTGGCAGCGCACACATTAGCGGGGCGCGATATATAATCGCGTTTTGTCGCGTCTTCTGCCAACAATGTCGCAGCGTGAATGGGAATGAATATGGAAATGTATGTGTGAGATATGGCGCGGCCTTCCGGAGCCTGCCCTCCTCGCGACATGCTCTCGTTTATACAGCGTCACTGCATACGCCAAAACGTTGTACTGAAGCAGAGAAAAATTGAACTTATAACAAAACAGAATTATGAACTCATTTATCATCTTACATCATTTATAATCACGACAAGATAATAAAACATTCAAGTATTTTACTTCAATAAAACAGATCACGGTCAGACGCTGATGTCAGGAGAACTGCCGGGTAGTGCACACCGTTACAATACGAACACAGAGAGTAGAGAGTATGTGCAGGTGATAATAATATTATTATTTCTGGTCCCAATTGAGCTAATAAATAAAATAGGTTTGATTTCTTGTAATGTTTATCTTTGAACATCGAAATTATATTAAAACTATTGACGAGGTCAGGGCGAACTATAATAAAGAAGCATAAGACACAACAACACGGCAACTGAATAAGTAACAGTCCTTACTCAGTGGCACGTTGTTCCGTTACTTGCACATAGCTTGCAATAGTTACCGAAGTAGTGCGCGCACACACTGTGACGTCAGCAGGACCCGGACAGTTTGGTAAAAGTTGTGCGAATAACAGATATAACGTACGGCAGCGGGAAGTGTTAGCCATAACGTGAGCACAACTTGTGTGGACTGAGGGAGCTTCGCATTACAACAGTCTATACTTGTGGAATAAATTTTTCCCTCATTACAAAAATCCTACTTCTTATATTTATTTTTCAAAGGGGAAGGCAGTGACGGAACTATTAAAATATGTTATACTCCCACTTTTCAATGCCATTTATCTTGTTTAACTCTGAGGACTAAAGTTGAGCGGCAACTCCGGCGGCAGTACCCTGCAACGATGTGTATCAATGAAGTAATGAACTAGTCAACTATTAGACAACAGTTGTTGCGGTGTTTGTGTGTGTCTGAACTATACTACTGCAGCTTTAGTCACTCGCGCGTTGTTTACTAATACCCCGCAGCTAATGTCATACATATTGTAACAATACAACGAGTGTCGCGGGACCAGACTATACTTCGGACAGACAGACAGACACACAGTGGGCACAGCGGCAGTAACACGGGGCGCATAAACCGAGCACCAGTGTGCGCTATAAATTGTACTCGCCATACATTTTTTAGTAACCGCGGCGCGGTCAGCTGATCAAAGTTGCATCGCGCCCACTGTGCAGCTGTGTACGTTGCACTGTATGTATGTATGTGAGGCAATATCTCAGATGAACATTGCCACTGAATACACTCCGTACTATTCCACAGAGTATTGCGGTCACCGCTGGGACAGCAGCTCGCTCGCGTTGTTTTCAAATCGAATAATTTGCAGTCGAGTACGTAATAGGTGAGAGATAGACAAGTCACTAGCTTGGATATTGATGTTGTTAGCGCAGTAGATACATGTGTACATCCGCTGTCGTGTATACTTGAGAGAATGGTCGTGGTCGACGTGGTGCAGGGAACATGACAATGATTCATACTTGTTGTTGTTTTTATGTTACAGCAATACCGAGTCTGTCAGTGACTGTGCCAGTACTGCGTACTTGTGGACGGACAGACGATATGGCGAACTTGTGTATTATATCTCGTAGCTAATGTGTATTATGTTATTACATGGAAGCTGTACAAGAAGTGGATGGAGAACATTGATGGATATTCAATATGTGGAAAGCAATCCACTATCAGGTCGAACAAAACAAATATAAAATATTGAAACGGTTTCATCGTAAAAACATTCGCATATGAAAAGTTGTAGACTGAAAGATAACAAGACAGATATAGCCAGGCAGACCCAGCTAGAGCCAGCTAGACAGAAAATAGATTGAAGTGGCGCGAGACACGCCGCGCCCCCGCGCCCCGCGCCCTGCGCCCCCAGCCCGCGCCCCGGCCGCTAACTGCGAGTTAAACAAAGATATTCTGTCGAGGAACTTCGTAGGAACGCGGTTACTGACAATTCTTATATTTTAAAAGTTGTAAGCTTTGTGGAAGTAGATATCTGATACTCAATAACAAGTTTTTCGAGTAAAATCATTCACTGAGGGATCTCCCCCTCTCGCCCCCCTACTCCGGGCCTCCACCAACTCTACTAATCATTTAGATAAAGTTGGGGCGATTGTTTTTTGTTTGTTTGTCGAGTTTACTGCCTGACATAATGCTATCGAGAGCAGAGCAGCTTGCAATAACGTAGGACATTCGTCGAATGATCGGAGGACGTCCACGTGGGCGGAGACACGTGTTGCATGCGACTGAAGTCGGACATTCAGAACTACATATTCAGTATCGGATACAAAAATTGTACTATGTGGTCAAAAATAATGTACATCTACCTCTATAAAAGAAAGTCGTGTTAGTTACACTACTTATAACTCAAGAACGGCAGAATTGATTTGGCTGAAAATTGGTAGAGAGGTAGCTTAGAGCCAGGAGACCGACATAGGATACTTTTTAACTAATTTTTTTTTTACTTTTTACCGAAAGCCACGACCGGGGACGGGAAAAAATGGGATTACGCGTACGAAGTCGCGGGTAGAAGCTAGTACAATATAAAAGTCTGTTTTATTTATGAATAAAACAACATCAAAATGCATGGTGGCTCTAAGCAGGTGGTGTATGTTGCAACTGGTAACTAAATGCCATAACTGTCAGTGCTGTGTGACACGTCCACTGACGACATGACGTCACATCCCATCCCCGTCACTGAACACGTTAATGACATTTTTATCGGCAAGCACGAGCGAGCACGGCGCATAGTGACGGTGTGTCTGTGTGTCTGCTTGTATGTATGTGTGTACGTGTGTATGACGGTATGTCGTCGGTCGAGTGGTCGCAAGTACACTTGCATGTGGTGTAGAGTTTAGAGAGGTTTGAGCTAAGTACGCTACCTATTTAATTTCAAAAGCACTCTTCAGTGAACTAGTCACAGCTTCACATTAGTACTCTATGAACAGAGCAAGCAGGACGTGACAATACTTTGTGTTCACTAATTCGTAGTATACAAAATGAACGTATTCAAGATACTTCGGTGTACTTATTCTTACGATAAGCTTTTACATATGCTACGCAATTATGGGCATACAAACTAAACGTGTGGTGACTATACAAGATTTCAGCTCAATCGGTTAAAGATATCTATTTTACAATACAATTGCAGGATTCCACTTCACACACATCATACATAGTACCTTGCAACTTCAATAAAACATGTAATCATTCTTTTATAAACAAAGTTTAAAATAACTATAAAAAACACTAACTACATAAAAGTAATTTTAGATAACACCACTATACAAGTGGTACAGCCTGACTTCACCTCGACTCTTATTAACTCCCATTCTAATTAACATAATAGTGTTTTAAGTATCGCGTACATCGTTTAAGGAACCACGTGCAAACTTCAGTAATAGTCTGCTCACCCCCGGGTGTTACAGCGTTATACTTCCCAGCAAAACTGCTAAGTGACGTCACGTCGAGATATATGTACATTATCAAGTAAAAGTGCAGGGTGTGGGGGAAGGTCCGACAAAGGATCTTTTAATGTCGCCCTGACCAAAAAGCTTTTTATACATAAAGCCCACCTCCACCGCGATGTGTTCAGGGTGACGAGCGCGGGTCTATGTGGTTGTCAGCACGACGCACTGCTCGCTGCACGTGGTGAGTACCGACGTATTATTATTACATTGTACGGTTATGTTTTCAAGTCAAACATGAACAAGGAAATGTATCGGCTCCATAATATAATAAAATCACGTACATTATGTTTCGTAAACATAAACTTTACATCGGAACCTTGTATAGTAATACGACAGGTATATTGTTTGTATGTGTGTGTGTGTGTGTGTGTGTGTATGTGTGTGTGGGGATACATGGCGGGAGGCTTTTAACGTATTACCGCGTACATTGCGTTAATAAAAACAAATTGTTCAGAAATATTCACGTAAAGGAAGTTAAAGCCAAACCGTTCGATACTTGGGAACTGAGCTGTTGTTGTAATGGAGGGAGGTTTTGCAAAGATACTCCTCGTAGGTGGCCCTAGTTAGTAAGCTCCAGATACATATAGATATATTAGACTCATAATACACAAATAGTTTCATAAAATATTAGATCTTTACAATAATGTAATAGGTATTGTTAATAATTGCAAATTAAGCCAACGAATCGTAATAGAATCCGTGCTACTGTTTGGTCTCCGGTTGTGACTGCCAACTCCGACGAAAGTCTGACACAACGACACTCATGTGTTTTCACAAAAACGCATATATTTTCCTCTCGCTCGACTAAACAGTAGTAAGTTTTGATTAGTTGTTCCCCACTTGTGTCCTCGAGTATGTATCGTCAGCTAACTCGATATAACTGCTGTATATCTGACGGTATCTGTGCGATAACAACAATATAGTCGTTCGTTTTGTTTTATTTCGTCATGCGTTTTCCTGGTGGAACAGATAACTGCGAGCGAAGCCGGGCGGCGCCTCACTGACTACCCTAACTGTATGTTATTGTATAGTTGTCGGGATGATGACTGATTTCCTCATTGATACATATAAATATACGAACAAATACAACGCTCACATTGCTGATCATAATAATGTATTATCGTCACTGTTTATGGGTAGTTTAAAAGCACACCTTACGTAAATCAATTAATTTAATGTTCTGAACGTAATGGACCAGAGTGCCAATAAAAATATTATAGTGTCAAACAAA